TGCAGAAAAGCGCCAGCCAGTGAAGAACCATCCAAATGTATCTGAGGTAAAACTGGCATCAAACCTTTTCTTTGAACACAATTGTTTTATCCAATTAAAATAAGTCAACAAATATAATAGTTTTGACAAAACATGCCACAACAATGCCTGATTTCATTGCATGTTTTAATTATTATTGAACTGCTCAGACTGCATGGGACAAAGAAATGATTCAGTCAAATTTTGCCAACAGTGTCGACACCGGCTAGTGTGCACAAGTGTATCTTCCTTGGACAAGTGTATTCATTGTGTAGGACCTGTCTCTTCCTTCAAGTGGCTGGGCTATAAATGTACAGGTGAGTTGTTTATTTATTTTTTTAATTGTTGTTTTTCTTTTTCTTTTAACTACAGTAGGTGGCTCAGCAATCAAACAGGACAAGAACAGACTCCAGCGGACAGTCAGGACTGCAGAAAAGATGATCGGTACAAGCCTGCCCTCCAAGGAGGACCTGTACACCTCACAGGTCAAAAGGAGAGCGGAGAAGATTTCTGCAGACCCCTCACATCCTGGACACAAAGTTTGAACACCTCCCCTATGGAGGAGGGTCACTGTGTGCCAGGATAACCAGGCACAAGGACAGTTTCTTTCCCCGGGCCATCACTCTGATGAACACTTGACCCACAACAGTATGACTGGGCAATAACCCTCAGTGCAATACCTTTCCCAGCCATTCCCAGTCAAAAGCCTATAATGCAATATGTGTTATTGTGTATGTTAGTACACTATGTGTTGTGTGTTAATTGGCCTACTTACTGACTTTCAAGGCCTGCGGAGAGTATCGTGGCAAGCGTTGATCTGGGCAGGTCTGTGATTTCTGTATTTGGCATTAATGTATTAAGGAAAACCATATAGCCATATAATTACTCTAGATGACATAGCTCTGGCCTCCAGTTGAACTGCGAGGAAGCTTGGAGTCAGTTTTGACCAGGATATGTCTTTTATCTCACACATAAACCAAATCTATAGAACTGCCTTTTTTTCACCTGCACATTATTGCAAAAATCAGGAGCATCCTGTCAAAGTCATGCTGAAAAACTGGTCCATTCATTTGTTAATTCAAGGCTGGACTACTGTAACTCTTTACTATCAGGATGTCCCAGTAATCTCCTAAAAAGCCCCCTGCTTAAACCTAAATCATGCAGCCAGAGTACCGAAGGAACTACCAAGAGAGAAATTACAGATTGATCACCCAGCCCTAATCCAAACCACTGAAATATCTTGTTCTCCATCATCACCTCCTCAGCCTGTGTGAGGTTCATGTAATGTTGCCATAAAGTGACATTGTTGTGTTTATATCAGATCATTTTTATTAGTGAGTACAACAGAGGTATTTGACCTTATACCGGTACCAGGAACTAAATGTAACATAGTAGCATAACTGCTTCCAAAAATCCCATTAAATGAATATCACCAAAATCGCTGATTATGTAAAACATTCAGTATGCAAACATGGTAAAACAGTAAATAATACAAACTTATACAAAGTCTTTTAATTACAAGATTCAAGGCATTTATCAAACGTGAACAATGGGCTTGTGAACAATGGACTAAGTTGTGTATAAACCAAGTCTTAAAATATCTGTTAAAAGCAGTGTGAAATCTACCTCTAACAGTTCACCCCAGCAATCATCATGAAGACCTTCACAATCAAAACAGGACTTTTACACATTGTTAGATTTGTGCACATGCCATGTTCAGAGCTCAGAAACATGCAGTGGTGGGTTTGTAGATTACATGGTGTAGACACACACTGACACTAGGCCCAGACTTACATGTTCACCCTTGTGTGAATATATTGATGTACTTTTAGTTCACTTGAACTTGTGAAAGTTTTCTCACACTGTTCACACCAAAACGGTTTCTCTCCCGTGTGAATACGCTGATGGTTTCTTAGACTCGTCAAATGTGTAAAAGCTGACCCACATTGGTCACAGCTGTACGGCTTCTCTCCAGTGTGAATACGCTGATGCTTTCTTAGACTCCCCAAATATATAAAAGCTGACCCACACTGGTCACAGCTGTACGGCTTCTCTTCCGTGTGAATAAGTTGATGGTGGACTTTTAGTCCACTTGAATTTGTGAAAGTTTTCTCACACTGTTCACACCAAAACGGTTTCTCTCCAGTGTGAATACGTTGATGGACTTTTAGTCCACTTGAATTTGTGAAAGTTTTCTCACACTGTTCACACCAAAACGGTTTCTCTCCAGTGTGAATACGTTGATGGACTTTTAGACTCCCCAGACATGTAAAAGCTGACCCACATTCGTCACAGCTGTATGGCTTCCCTCCAGTGTGAATACGTTGATGGGATTTTAGATGCCCCAACTGTGTAAAAGCTGATCCACACTGGTCACAGCTGTATGGTTTCTCTCCAGTGTGAATACGTTGATGGGATTTTAGACTCCCCAACTGTATAAAAACTGAACCACATTGGTCACAGCTGTACAGCTTCTCTCCAGTGTGAATACGTTGATGATGCTTTAAATACTGTAATGTTGAGAAGGCCTTGTCACAGTGCTGACAAGGGTGAAGCTTCATCCCCACTCCTCTTCCCTGTTCCTATAACAGCAGACAAAGAGAGTGGAGACGGGTACATCTTCAGTGTAATTTTTTCTGCAGAAAGGAGTAGTCTACAACAGCACTTGGAGATGCATGTTACAGAGACTCAAAGAATAAAGGAAGATTCAGTTCAATGTAAAGCAGAGAATAATGTCACACACAAAAGGAGGGTACACTGAGAACAATCATGTATTTGTGTTCAAAGAATTTCTAATTTCCAAAACAGGGAGCTTCATGAGATAAATGAGATACTTTCAAGGTCTGTGGATATTACAGTTCCTCTCACTTTTAGGAGGAGGCTAAATCCAAATACCACAATACTATCCGAACCATGAGTTTTGTGAACTGTTCCACTCTTGAGTTCATGGACAAATTTACATAAAGTTAGTAATGTGACAGCTTTTAATTCGACTTACCCTAAAACTGATAAGTGCCGATTAGAGTGGAATATTATCATAACACAGTCAAACCTAAGGGCATGTGTAAATCAGAGGTTTCCAGTTTTTAAATTCTTGTTATGAAATAACTCTATCCCACCTTTCTATGGGGCCAGATCAATTGGCACTGAAAAATAAAGCTTGGCACTGAAAACAAAACCGTAACTGAAAAAACAAACATCGGCACTGAAGTATTTCTATTGAAAAAAAACAAAACACTGGCATTAAAAAGTATTAATACTGGAAAAATGACTATTCAGATTTGTTGTCAATCATTGCTTTTCAATGCCAACTAGTTTTCATTAATTTTCACTTCTGTGTCACTGTTTTGGTGTGGAGGGGAGGGCTTTGAGTGGAGGGGCTAAAGACAATGTGACTTGCATACTGTGCTTAAGATCCATGAAGAGAGGACGGCCCTCTCCCCTGAGCCACTACCTTCTTGGCTACCAGGAACCAAACGTAGCTAACTACTGTTAATAACTGAGTTACCATACCATCTCATAGTGTTAGCTAAATAACAATTATATACTGTAAATAATGGACAGACGCTCAAGGGTCTGGTTTACATCAAATACAATCACTTCTTCACAACACAATGGGAAGAAAAAAGTAAAGACATGATGTTTTTGAGTTAAGTTCTGCAGTCTTAGTTCTAAGGAGATTGATGGATGATTATTCTGGAGTGACATCAGAGATAGTGAGTAAATGGTAAATGGTCTTATACTTGTATAGCGCCTTTCTATGCTTTTACAGCACACTCAAAGCGCTTTCACATTATTCGGCCATTCACCCATTCGCACTCCCAAGCACTTGCGCATTCACACACCGGTGACATCACCGGGAGCAACTGGGGGTTCAGTGTCTTGCTCAAGGACACCTCGACATGTTGACTGGACAAGCCGGGAATCGAACTGCTAATCCTCCGGTTAGGAAACAACCCGCTCTACCTCCTGAGCCACAGCCGCCCCCGAGGTCAGGTAGGAGTTACACTGCTTCTTAAAATGTTTCGTCAGTGTGCTCACATTCCACTAAGATAGAACCCTGAGAGCCTCCAGACACAAAAGAAAGCTTATTTAAAAGAAGCTTATTTGTGAAAGTCTTGGGAACTGACCTCGGAGAGCTGCGCTCCTCTGTCTGTCCCGTCTGTCAGTTCTGCCCCTCCCCTCTCTCTCTGCATCTCCTCCTCCTCCTCCCTCTGCCTCTTCAGCTTCTGTTTCGACCCCCTCTTCTTCTGTGGTGGCATTTTGCAGCACCTGTCACCACATAAAGGCTCAGAAATAAAAAACAGTATATAGGGACACCTGTCACCATGGTTACATAGTGGGAACATTTGATCAAAGATGGGACTAGAGAGGAATAAGAAGGAGAGTGACGACATCTCCACTGAGTCTATAAGAGTAATGACAGATCACGGGGATGTCAAATAGTTCAGAACATTAGGAGCAATGCCATAGAGTTGCATTAATTCGGCTGCTAAGTTATGAAGTAAGATGTTGAAATTAATAGTATTATTAAAATAATAGCAATTTGGAGGGGTGTCCAAAAGAATGGCATGTTTTAACATGTAGCTCAGTAAATCACTAAGGGAGGCCGTGTGCCCTAATCTTGACTGTCTACAGAAATGATAACTCAGAAGGTGCTTTCCAGCATCAAAACATATGACACATTTCACTCCCCACTGCACAGAGAGGACCTTTGCTTTATTACTTTTAAATAAATCTCTGCCAAGGATTGAGTCCAAATGTAATCACTTGTTTCTTCAACATTATCTACCTGTCGATACCTTTTCAAGATATCCTGATAAATCATGGACAAAAACAAATGTTGGTGATAATCTCCTGGCAGAGATACATATAATAGTAAAATTAATTATCGATTGTCACCTTAGAACGATGAGTAAACATATTTTGAACAGGTAGCAGTGTTTCTTAGGGGTGGGAATCGGCAAACTCACAATTCAATGTGATTCCAATTCTTTGTTTCATAATTTGACTCGCTCATTTCCTATTCAAAAAGAGCTCAGTTCTGCCAAAATGAAGGGCTCTATATTTTTCCTCTTACTCTAGTCTACTGTTTGACCAACAATCAATCTCTGTCCTTTGCCCACTGAGCTGCTAATAAAGCCTAACAGACAGTTAAGCTAACTGGTTCTGATGACCATCAAAACCAAGTACTTTACATACTGCTACCCAGTAGTATGTAAATTACTTGAATTTTTAAGTATATAAGGCTATTAAAACTAGCTCCACTTTGACTAGCTGCAGCATTAAATATGATGAACACAATAACACATCAATAATTATAATCCAATCATCCATATAAATGTACTTATCTGCATAATGACTACTTTTCCTTTTGGTACTTTAGGTTATATTTGGATGCAAATACATTTGTGCTTTTACTTAAGTAATAGTTTGAATGCAGGACTTTTACTTGGCCTATTTTTACACTGTGGCACTCCTAATTTACTTCAATAAACAATCGGTGTACTTCTTCCACCGCCGGTTTGTGGTAGCTACGTGAGTTGTAAAGAGGAGGGGAGAACAAAGCAGAGCGCTCGGTTGTGTTGTAGTAGAACGACTCGAAAGGTGTACTAATCTTATGCGATGTTGCGCATGCGCGGTCAACACAAACTGAACGAATCACTCCCCGAGACGACCCGATGTTCTCGAGTCGGGAACGACGCATCACTATTGTGTTGTTAACTTTACGCCTGCGGCAGTGGAGAACAGAGTCTGTTACTAGCAGAGAAAGCCAACGTGATCCAAAACAGGCACAAGTCTGTAGAAACGACCTCCTTTGTTTGTTTCACCAGTTTGACCGAAGTGCTGCAGTGTGGGTTGATGAGCTGCTCTTGTTTGTTCCTACGTTCGCTGCTCCGCTAACGTCAATTTGTTGGTGATGGGCTACGAAGTATTCACACAGTCACCCACACTTAATGTTTAATATTGGGTACCTCTCGATTACCTTTGCACCCCTCATAACTTCAAATATTCTGTAATTCTTTAAAACCCACGATATGCTAACCCCTGGACATAGGAACGCAGCTAACCTCTCACACTAAGGTGCCATATCTGAAGCATATTAAAGCTCCACACAATGCTTGAGGTTTTTGGCAGAAATATTCACTTAGTAATTGACTACCATGGAAACTGCGAGCAGAGTTCCCTGCAGACCTCTCTCTTACATGTCATTAATTTAGGACAAGATCCCAAATCCTCCCAAACAATAGCCTGGAGTTATAGGCACCTCCCTCCTTATACTTTCAGATGTTCCTCTACTGAGAAGTTTTAGGAACCTCTATACTCTGGCTTTTTGAGGAAGTGTCGAGTTTTGTCTGAAATAACCCATAAAAGCCATGACACTGGCCACGTATGACCATATTTGCCATTGTTTTTATAGGCTTCTTGTCAAGTAGGCCTCACCCCCTCATCCAATCAGATTTCAGCCATTACCACTGTTGGCATGCATAGTCTTGTTTTCCAGAACTGTTGCGTATCTTTTACCATCAAGATTAGGTACACTACCTGCAACTGGCCTTCACCCACTGTGATTCAGCATTATCTACTTCTCTTTTCTCAAGAACAAATCATTCTAACGGCTAATAAAAATTCAAGAATCTCACATTTGATCAAAATACAAAAGTCCCATCACTGTTGCACAAAAACTGTCAATTCCTTGAATTTAAAACATAGATCACTATATTATTTTGAATACAAAATAACTCACACTTGATTAAACATTGATTATCAGTGATCAATCTGGGCCTGCTTAGGTTTTCTTCTTGGTATAATTTATGATCACCTTTGTTTCTTTCTGTAGGCTTACAGTGGGGAAAATAATTATTTGATCCCCTGCTGATTTTGTAGGTTTGCCCACTTACAAAGAAATGAAGGGTCTATAATTTTTATAATAGGTTTATTCTAAAGGATAGAGACAGAATATCAACAAAAATTCCCAAAAAGCACGATACAAATGTTATAAACTGAGTTGAATTTCAGTGAGTAAAATAAGTGTTTGATCTCCAAGCAAAACACGACATAGTACTTAGTGGAGAAACCCTTGTTGGCAAGCACAGAGGTAAGGTGTTTCTTGTAGCTGGTCACCAGATTTGTGCACATCTCAGGAGGGATTTTGGTCCATTCTTCTTTACAGATCTTCTCTAAATCCTTAAGGTTTCTTGGCTGTTGCTTGGCAACTTGAAGTTTCAGCCCCCTCCATAGCTTTTCTATAGGATTAAGGTGCTGGAGACTGGCTTTGTCACTCCATGACCTTAATGTGCTTCTTCTGGTGGTATGTTCTGAGACATTGTCATGCTGGAAGAGCCATCCACGACCCATCTTCAGTGTCCTGGCTGAGTGAAGGAGGTTCTCATCCAAAATTTTACAATATATGGCCCCGTCCACTGGCCCCTCAATGCGGCAAAGTCAGCCTGTACCTTTATGCTTTGGGGCTGTTTCTCTGCTAATGTTCCCACCTTTGTGTTTGACTGTAGGGATGGTGTTCTTAGGGTCATACTCAGTTTCTTCCTCCAAACACGGCGAGTCAAGTTGATACCATACAGCTCAATTTTGGTCTGCCTTCTTGAGGAGTGGGACCTTGCAGGTGCTGCAGGATTTCAGTCCATGGTGGCGTACTGTTTTACCAGTGATTTGTTTGGTGTCTGTAGTCCTAACTGCCTTGAGATCATTCACAAGCTCCTCCCATGTAGTTCTGGGCTGATCCCTCACTTTTCTCATGATCATCCTTACCCCATGAGGAAAAATCTTGCATGGAGCTCCAGACCGAGGGCGACTGATGGTTAGTTTGTATTTCTTCCAACAGTTGTCTCCTTCTTACTAAGCTTCTTGCTGATAGTCTTGTAGCCCATTCCAGTCTTCTGCAGGTCTACAATCTTGTACCTGATTTCCTTTGACAGCTCTTTGGTCTTGCGCACGGTGGTGAGGTTTGAACGGAAGATACAGAAACTCTGTGGACACGTGTCTTTTATACACATGACGAATTGTCATTAGGAGCACCTTCTTAAATTGACAGGACTGATTTGAGCACCACATGAGCACATACATAGTTTGTGGGAGCAAGAATTATTGTTGGTTGGTAGGGGATCACATACTTACTTTACTCACTGAAATGCAACTCAATTTATAACATTTGTATTGTGTTTTTCCTGATGAGGAAAAGCCAAAGTCCCCTGCTGTGTACAACAACGCCTTGCTTTTGCTAGAAACTGAAGTGCCAGGGACAACGAGGTAGCGTCTTATTGGCAATTAATCCATGGTTTATGTGCGTGCCGAACCGCCGTCCCTGGCAGGCTAGGGGTTAAGGTGCAGGAAGGGCATCCGGTGTAAAACACATGCCAAATGTCAACATGCGAGTCCTCAGTGTGACAATTCGCTGTGGCGACGCCTAAACAGGAAAAACCGAAAGTGGCTTTCTTTCTATATGCGACCGAACAATGAAAGGGATCTGTACAGATCATGGATCAGCTACCATCTGTTACACCACTACAAAGAGGATGGCTGAAGCATTTTATCTGAGGAACTAATTTCCATGTTAGTCACATGTTCTTTCTGGTGTGTTGTCGTTCTCCCTTCTCCGCACAGTACAATATAGATTATGAAGTATTTGATGGGATATGCTGCCATGTAAAACCACTGTGGCCATATTAGCCAGCAGTTACAAGTTTGCAGCTGCTGTTACACAATAAAAAGGATTCTAACTACACATAGCATTCTGGGAGGTCTGCTCATTGCATATTTTGGTGAACACCAGACTCCTGATCAATGTAGATGTGAACGAGGCTCAGACATAAACTGCTAAATCTCTTCAGCCCTCACTCCTGCGTCCTGATACAGATGTGTATTGAGGCCCTTTCCAAAGCTTCACTTAGGTTAACTCGGTTAGATTATATATTGTGTATGGCAAAATATGTTGATATACAAATATTATAATGCCTCTAGAAAGAATCTTGAAAAATTAACCAAAATTAAAGAAGCACTAGGACACAGACTGAAATGCCATCCTCCTAAACATGAAGAGGGCAGTAAAAGGTATCTGTTTGTTTTCTGTATATTTTCTAACTAGCTTCACTAGTACGAATGCAGAACCTATTATATTGAGCGAAAGTGCTTCTGTTCTCTACGAGCTAATTTGTTTCAAGTTTCCTGTGGCCTTAAAAGGACCCTTTTCTATTAGGGTCTCAGGAGAGACATTTAAAAAGGTTGAAATCTCTGTAACAGAGGTCGAGCTATCAACCAACTCAGTCTGTGTTATGGTTCAAGCTCCAGAATCTCTGGATCCTACATTTCTGCTGATGCTAGTCTGCAATGGGGATGCCATTCAGTAATTTCAAAATGTTAAAGGAGCATCTGTGAGGATCAGTCATGTTTCTGTAGAGGCCAGTGTCACCCCATGCCCCTCTGGGTGTCAGAAATGATTTAGTCAAATCTCAGGTGATTTATGAACCACAGACATGCTGCAAATGTCAGTTATGATTTTACATAGTTTAATAATGGCACTTCACTCTCTTTGTCTGCTGTTATAGGAACAGGGAAGAGGAGTGGGGATGAAGCTTCACCCTTGTCAGCACTGTGACAAGGCCTTCTCAACATTACAGTATTTAAAGTGTCATCAACGTAGTCACACTGGAGAGAAGCTTTACAGCTGTGACCAATGTGGTTCAGTTTTTATACAGTTGGGGGGTCTAAAATCCCATCAACGTATTCACACTGAAGAGAAACCGTACAGCTGTGACCAGTGTGGATCAGCTTTTACACAGTTGGGGGGTCTAAAATCCCATCAACATATTCACACTGGAGAGAAGCCATACAGCTGTGACGAATGTGTGTCAGCTTTTACACAGTTGGGGAGTCTAAAAGTCCATTGATGCATTCACACTGGAGAGAAGCCGTACAGCTGTGACCAATGTGGATCAGCTTTTAGAAAGTTGGGGAATCTAAAATCCCATCAACGTATTCACACTGGAGAGAAGCTGTACAGCTGTGACCAATGTGGGGCAGCTTTTAGAGTTGTGGGGCATCTAAAAGTCCATCAACGTATTCACACTGGAGAGAAACCGTACAGCTGTGACCAATGTGGGGCTGCTTTTACACAGTTGGGGAATCTAAAAGTCCATCAACGTATTCACACTGGCGAGAAGCCGTACAGCTGCAACCAGTGTGGGGCTGCTTTTACGCAGTTGGCAGCTCTAAAAGTCCATCAATGTATTCACACTGGAGAGAAGCCATATTGGTGCGACCAGTGTAAGAAAACTTTCACTAAATCAAGTCGACTTAAAGTCCATCAGTGTATTCACTCTGGAGAAAAGCCGTACAGCTGTGACCAGTGTGGGTCAACTTTTGTACAGTTGGGACATCTGAAAGTCCATCAACGTATTCACACTGGAGAGAAGCTGTACAGCTGTGACCAGTGTGGGACAACTTTTACACAGTTGGGGAATCTAAAAGTCCATCAATGTATTCACACTGCAAAGAAGCCATTTTGGTGTGACCAGTGTGAGAAAACTTTCACTAGTTCAAGTTGACTAAAAATCCATCAATGTATTCACACTGGAGAGAAGCCGTATAGCTGTGACCAATGTGGGGCAGCCTTTATACAACTGGGGAATCTCAAAGTCCATCAACGTATTCACACAAGGGTGAACATGTAAGTCTGGGCATAGTGTCAGTGTGTGTCTACACGATGTAATTTCCAAACCCACCACTGCATTTCCGAGCTCTGACCAGGTCATGTGCACAAATCTAAAAATGTGTAAAAGTCGTATTTTGATTGTGAGGGTCTTCATGATTGCTGGGGTGAACTATTACAGGTAGATTTCAGACAGCTTTTAACAGATATTTTAAGACTTGGTTTATACACAACTTGGCCCATTGTTTACATTTGATAAATGCCTTTAATTTGATAATTATAAGACTTTGTACACGTTTGTATTATTTACTGTTTTACCATGTTTGCATATTGAATGTTTTACGTAATCAGCGATTTTGGGGATATTCACTTAATGGGATTTTTGGAAGTAGTTATGCTACTATGTTACATTTAGTTCCTGGTATCGGTATAAGGTCAAATACTGCTGTTGTACTCACTAATAAAAATGATGATATAAACACAACAATGTCACTTTATGGCAACATTACATGAACCTCACACAGGGTGAGCAGGTGATTATGGAGAGCAAAAGATATTTCAGTGGTTTGGAGTAGGGCTGGGTGATCAATCTGTAATTTCTGATTGATAAATGTGTTTGATCTGCATTTGATCCACTCCCCGTACAAGCATCTTGTTAGACCTCAGGCCTAGCGTTCGGTAGCTGAAACTGTGAACCATATACTGTAGTAGGTCTGTATATTGACAAGAATGTGGCGATAAGATACAGGAGTTACGATTCGATATATTGAGATACTGTAAACAAAGCAATGTATTGTGATCTTCGAACAAGTTATGGTAATTACAAATTCCTCCTGGACTTTGACAGCTTTGTCTGCTTTGCAACCAGGACACACAATGCAAAAAATTCTGGATTTTAAATTCTGTTCTGGATTTTACAGGGAGCCAGTGGAGAGAAGCTAATATGGGAGAGAGAGGATCTGTCTTGCTGTCAGCACTCTGGCTGCAGCATTTTGGTTTAAGCAGGGGCTTTTTAGAGAATTACTGGTAATAAAGAGCTGCAGTAGTCAAGCCTTGAATTAACAAATGAATGGACCAGTTTTTCAGCAACACTTTGAGACAGGATGCTCTGGAGTTTAGTGGTATTGTGCAGGTGAAAGAAGGCAGTTCTAGAGACTTGGTTTATGTTTGAGTTAAAGGACATATCCTGGTTAAAAATGACCCCAAGGTTCCTCACAGTAAACAAAGGAAAACTAAGGAGGAGCTTCGAGGAGGGAGACAAGAACAGGACTGGACCAGGTGACTAGACCAGGAGCCAACAGGTCAGAAACACACCCACACACACAGAGAAAATAAGCGCACAGGACGATATACTAAATTTACATAACGTAATGTTATTAGAACATGAAAAGCAGCCTTGCATGGTTCTAAACATTAATGGGAAAGACGTTGAATTTTTGTGCGACGCCGGGGCATGTAAATCAATGATAACGACCGACAGCAGCCTAAACTTGCCTGCTTCTCGTGATAAATAACAGTGAGAACAACAAGTGGACAAACACATATGGAGAACCTCTCCATAACAGTCACTGTTCATGATGAGGACGCAGGACAAAAGAAACAACACCAATTTATTTTATCTAGCCTGTGTCCTGTGAACTTACTAGGTATCTGCGTGATACCCACCAAGAAAGGAATGCGGGCACAAAAACCCCTTCACACAGATTTGCACGCTCTAGAGGGCACAGGAA